AAAAGAAAAGGAGCCGCCACTGATCAGAGAAGAAAAAGAGAAGCGCACGCAGATAGAAGCGAGAGAGCCCGTGGAAACGCGGAGGGAGACCGCACTGCACACGAAAGAGGATAATTCTATTCTCTTTCTTTTGTTTTTATTTATTATGTTAGACTAGTTTTTATTTCTAGTTCCGGGGAAGTTGAACCCTACGACTTGATGATGTTTGATTAATTTTCGTGGTTGATTATTGAGTTATGTTTTTGGAATTGTTTGTGTTATTTTGAATAAGTAACCCTGATTTGTTGAGTCTTGTTTAGCTTGATCACCTAAACTAGGCTTTTCATATCTACTGCTAGATTCAAACTGTCAATCCGTAATTGTTGATGTGTTTAATCAATTAGAGGCTACCGGAAGATGCTAACTACCGGGGATAACACGGCCTAATTAAGTGAATGAAAATTTCGCTACTTAGTCTAGTCTATTTTTCTAAATCGTAAAGCGGCTAATTGAATTAAATTTAGGAAGCGTTTCCTAGACTGTTCAAGAGGTCAGATTTAATCGTAGAGCGTCTCGCGGTTAGATTAAAAATAAGGAAAAATTCGGGTAACAGCCCGTGGCGTTACCTAGGGCAAGTAATTCCATAGAACGCGAGATTTGATACCAGAATTAATTAGACGAGTCGGTCGAGGGAGTAACGGAACTGTGAACTAGAAATTTCTCTTATTTATTTTATTTTTATTTTTATTTCGTTTGTTTAGATTTTATTTATTTCATTAAAATTTTAATTAGTTTAGTGTTCACCTATATTTTTAAAGCTCAACCGCAAGTGTACGGCTTCGCTCGTAGTACGTGGCAAGCAAGGTCGTATCCCAAGAGACCAAACAACCAATTAATCAAGTACTAGGTTATGATAGTGCCAATTTTATCTAGACAACCGAATATAAGAGTGATTAACTAAACTAAGAAAATAATTCAAAAGATAAGAAATCGATAACAAGAAAACAACTAGAAAAAACACTTAGGAAGAATATAAGGGAATGGTAGATTCTAAGACTATGGGTTCAATTAACAGTTGGGTTCCTTCAAATATATCACAATTAACTATTTTCTTTATCTACCCTATAAGATGATCACAAAATTAGCCTATCGTCCCTCTCGAGATCGATAAAACCGTAGATTAAATCACATATATTAGCGTCTCCACTCAACACATGCAATTCAACTCCAAATAGATTAAAAGATCTAAACTCCTCACAATACCTACTAATCTCTCGATTAAAGCAAATAAATTGTGTCAAGTATTAAAGACCTAATATTGAACTCATCTCTCGAATTATGAACAATATTGTCAAACATGTAAAAGAATTGATCAAGTTCTAAACATGAAATAAGAACAAAATACTTGAATAGGGTTCAAAAGAAAAACAATCAATTATAAATAAATCATCCGAAATCCCAACGTATTAATCTACTACCATGTCTTAGAATCAAAGAAAATTAGCTACTCATGTTTGAAATCAAATACATAGACATATTCAAAATCAACATGAGAAAACAAGTTCAAAAGATAGAAAGAAAAACTAGTAAGCTTGTCGTCGATCTTCTCTTCTTCCCAATTGTTTCTCTTGCGTGTTCTCTGGCTCTCTTCCTTGCGTAATCACGTTCTAGGGCTCAAGATCAGGTAAATAGGTCTTTTTATATGTCCAAAAGTCCTCTCCTAAGCGAAAAAGGTAAGCGATTAAAAACTGCCCGCGTCGCGACACGACCTGACACGCCCGTGTCACAGGTCGTGTCACGGGTCGTGTCAGGTATTCTGCACTTATACTTCTCTGTTTGGATGACACGGGTGGTGACACAACCTCGGAGCCCGTGTCACGGGTCGTGTCACACCACTGTACACTCATTTTCGACTCGTTTCGCTCTTTAATTCCATTCTCTTCATCCGTGCATCGATCTATCATTATCCCGGGGGTTTTAGGCACTCACCATGCTCCTCCAATAGCCAAAGCTCTACAAATTTGTGAAAATATCTACAAAAGAAGCACGTGTAATACCTTTCCAACAAATATAAAATTAAAGCACAAATATGCAATTTATACACCAATAATGCAACAAATAAGCTCTAGATACTATATGAATATGGTGTAAAATCATACATGAACATTTAGTTATTAAATTCAAACCCCCCCTCTTTTTATTGCTTTCTTAATTCAATTAATACGAAAAATTCACAATTTAATTCACACTCCTCGTGGGATCGACCCTTACTTGTCACTACTACTAGCTATTAGAGGTTAGTTAAGGAAAATATAAATATTAATTTTGCCGCGTTGCGACGCGCGGTCACAGTCTAACTACCTAACTTGTGGTACTATTTCTGCACGATAATTAGAGGTTGCTTGAATATGTGTATGTTTGTTACAGAATAAACTCAAACCAAATTAATTTTACATAAAATGTAACTCAGATTTAACTCAACTCCACTATCATCAATATTATCAATATTATTAAATAATAACAATCAATTATTAAATAACAACTAATCATTTTTACACATCATATCAATTTTAATTCACCATTCATTCAGTCACGTAATTTTAACTAACTACCGTATCATATCACCAATCATATGTAAGAAGTAACTACCATTTATTTCTCAATTTATTTTTTTTAGAGACTTCACATTGAATCAATGCCAAAACATTTTAGAACTATTAAAAACTAACTTTCAACAAATTATATACTATTTCAAAACTCTCAACATCGATATTTATCGATAAGGATTCCAGCTCTTTATGCGATAGCAACTCGCCGGAAAAATTGAAAAATTCATCTACATATACATTGCCTGTGATTAAGAACTTCAATAAACGAACGAGAGAAGCCATATTAATTAGATTTATTTTTGAAAAATAAAACAAACAAGACAATCAAATGGAAAAGAACATAAAAGATGTGGTAGTGAAACCTAATTTTGGTTAATTTGTATAATTTATCTCCAATATAATTAAGCATATTATTTAATCATTTCGTTTGTGTTTTGGTTTTGAAGAAAATAAATGCATACGCTAAATCTTAAGACAGACTTCACATGTAACATTGAACCATAAATTATAAATTCAAATGAGATGGGCCATTTTCAAACTTAAGACAGACCACTATATATTAAGCCCAATCTCCTATGGTCCATTTTTGCTAAGCCCATATATTAGAATAAGACAGACCACTATAAGTTGGGAAAACTCTGTTTGGAATGGTTGAATATGGATTGTGTATGAGAGAGGACTGTGAATTTTTTCTTGAATATGAATTTTTTCGCCTGAATATGGAAATTGTTTTTTTTTTTTTTTTTTT